TGTTTATATATTCATACATAAAAAATTTTTTACTAGAAAGCAAATATTTTTATTTAATAAAATATATAATTGTTGTATGGAAAAATAGAACAAAATATAGCATTTTGAATTGCTTCACATATTATACATATATATATAAGTATACATATTATATATATATATACATAATTGTTCATATTTAAAAATAAATCTGGTATGTACAGTCGAAACTAAAACTTTGATATTATACATTTGTATACATCTTTTTTTAGTAAATTAAAACGAGAGTAAGTGCATTATATATTCTTGTTTATAAAAAATATGATATCAAAATGATCTAAAAATAATATAAAAAAAAGCAAATAAAATTATATAATCATTTTCCTTACTTTTTAACATTAGTAAATAAAGATAATATTATAAATATAACTTAAAAAATATTATATTTACATATATGTATAATTACTGATTTCATGGTTTTGTTGTAAACTTATAGATTTGCCATGTGTACTTTCTTCATTTTATTCTATTTTTTCTTTTTGTTCTTGTTTTTTTCCATAGGCGTTTATTTCCTCTCAAAATACATATCTATTATACTTCTTTAGATTTTTCTTCTTTTCCAATATTTAATTATAACCCATCTCTCGAAGATATTTCTTAATACTTTATATTTTATTATCTATCTTCGTGATTGATTTAAAATAAAGGAACATTGCGCATTAAGTTGTCGATATATCGCATGATTTCGACGAGCGATTCTGCTCTGCCTCACAAGCAAAACCAGATGACAGCATGATTCAAAGTTTCCTCGTCGATTGTCCACTCGATACACCGAAATAATGAATAAACTGATCCAAATATGAATTGAGTCGGATTGTTAATAAGTAGAAGGAAAAATGATTGGTGACACGGCGCAGATCGACAATAAGGAGCTCATCGAATGGATCGATGGCATCCCATTTTCTAGACCCGCGAGAAACTTAACGAGGGACTTCTCGGATGCCGGTAAACTCGCCAATTTTAATGTCAGGAACGATTTTCTCTTCTTTAGAGATAAATTTAAAAGCAACTAAATCTTGATTAATTTAATGCAATTAATTCAATCAAATAGAACTGCTTAAAGCAACATTTCTAACTATAGAATTATTTGATTTTTTTCTATATATTAAGTGACAGAAAATTAATAATTTTATTATTTAGGGATTTAATTAAATTTTAATTTTAATTTAATAACTTACTTTTAGCTTTTTCTGATTCTAAAATTTAGAAAAAGCTGAAGAGTATAAATTAAATCGAGTAGATTATATTATATTTAATCTATATATCAATATAAAAATGAATCTAATTAAATCATTATATCCCTTGATAGTTCTTACGGCGGAGGTTCTAAAATTATACTATCCCCGACATGTGGAGCTTCACAATTATGTTCCGGCGAATAGCATAAACACAAAAAAGGAGAACTGGAAGATGCTAAATCGAAAAGTGCTCGCGAAACTTGATATAAAATTGAGCAGCGACACTATTCATCAACTGGCGAACGGGTCACAAGGCGCAGTCGAGAAGCTCTTAACAAAGTTGAGAGTGAAAGTTCTGAGGGACGGCGTTGAGATGCATAAACCGAAACTCAAAGATGTAGAAAGCAATGTAGAAGGCAACGAAGCGCAGACATCATATATTAAATAATCACATTTGTTTAACGACCTATTTATACACGACTAGTTATACATTATTGTTTCGTTTTGCATACAGCAAATATATCATTCTAACAATATTACAGCAAAATTCCAGTAATATTGTAGTAACTTGCAATGTTGTTGTAAGCTTTCATATTATATGGATTTGGTTTTAATTTTATCGTACTTTCCATAGAAGAAAAGATTGGAGACAGCTCGTCAGACAGCTATCTCAAACTCCAAGTAGAAAGTCTAAATACTGATAACGAAACTCGTGAAATTAAATCATCGAAATTTATGTGTCTCAAACGAGGGATTTTTATCGTCTTCAGTTGGATTTTTTGCTTCTTCTGTATATGGAATATCTTTAATTATTGCACACTTCTTCGTTTCCGCAAGCGTGAGATATTTGATATATAAGTGAGACAATTTGTTTGATCAAATGAATAAATTTTCAAATGCGTTTAAAGGCGACGCGCTCGCAAACATTACGACGAAGCGGATTGAAGATGCAAACGACGAAAATGTGCAACGTACAATTTACGCGGAGTTAAAGCAGGAGCTGCGTGAAAAGGAGGAAGTGATAAGCACTTTGAATCACAAGATCGCATATCTGGAAAGTTCGATGAAGCTCAAGGATCTGCGCATCTCCAGTCTGGCGGCACAGATCCTGCAAAACGCCGTCGAAATGGATCAATCAGCGAAATCGCAATCAATCGATGGCGCACGTACTAAATTACGCTCGCGATCGCACAATTTTCACGAAGCCAAAACGAATTAGACATCCGTAGTAGTGCAAAACTGCAATCTTAATTATGAAATTAGAAATAAAAAATTAATAAAATTTAGTATATTATTTATATTACATAAGCAAGATACATATTCTTTATATCATGTCGTAAGTCTTTATTTAAATTAGATCATATTTAGAAAAGAAATCAAGAATAAAATTTTATTATAATACATAATTTAATTTGTCAGCTAACCAAATAACTATTTTAGATAAATAAACTATGCCCCGATTAATAAAAAAAGTGTATTTTTTAATGGAATAGAAGTGTTGTATTGTAATTTTTTATTACTGCGTATTAAATCATTCATTTGACTTCTTCAAACGATTTGATGAATTAGTAATTTATTCTTAAATTTAATTTTTAATTTAATTAAATTTTCAGTTTAATTAGACAGAAAGGATAATGAGTAATGTCGAGAGCCACACTTAAAGATGTATATTTATACTTCGCTTGTCTTAACGCTGAGACGTTACCATGTCTCTAGATATACTATATTTATAGACATGAAAAAATAAATTTTTTAATTTTAAAATAAAATATTGAATAAAAAATGTGTTTACTATAAAAAAAAAACTGTTTTTAAATTTCAAACTTCTAAAAAAAAAATACAGATTTATTTTTTTTTATATACATTATTAAAACGTTTAGTATCTACGTTATTTCAATATTATTTAATACATATCTTTTTACATTTATGTCTTTAAATATTAAGGCGTATCTTTTCGTTGTTGCGATGTCTATAAATGAATTGAATGATAAATTTTTTTTCGAACTGAAAATAATAATGAATTCAGTTTTATATTAAATTAAATTATTGCATACTAAAAACTATTAAACATGAAATTAGTAAAGTTAAATATAAACACATATAAATATTTTAAACGATTAAACTTTTCGAAAAATTTAAACAGATAAATTTTTACTAAGTAAAAATAATATTATTACCACATTATTTAAGGGAAGGCAGCAAAAATCAACTATCAGCAATTTTTTAAAAAATATTTTGAAAATATGTTCTTTTACATTATTTTTAATGCTCAAAATTAAATAGTGTAAAAAAATTAATAACAAATTTTTTCCATTGTTTACAAAAAATTTTACAAAAAATAATTATTAAATCGTTAAATTTATATTCTTATTTGTTGATTATCTCTCACATTGTACCGTAGAAAAAAATTGAGTCAAAAAGTTAAACTTTTATTGCAGTTATAAAATTTTTCCTTAAAAAATAAATTTTTATTTTTTCAACATATCTATATTTAACACAAAGTATTATTTGCGATTTGTAACAATTAAAATATCAAGTAGCACATAGCGCTTATAAAGCGTTAACAAAGCGCTAAAAAGCATATAATCGCTTTTTTAGTGCTTTACAAGCACTACTGTAATATTTGATATATAATTTTAGGACGGATAATTGATAATAATAGTATTTGAAATAAAAAATATTTATATATACGTATATTTAAACAATTATAATATTTTATTTTATTACTAAAAATTTTTAAAATTTTTTTAATTTCTTGCACTATACTTTTAAGCATTCTTCTTCACAAAGTTTGTTTTCTATGTAACTATTATCTTTCTAGCACATTTGCATTTCACTGATACTTTCTTTTCATATCTATTATATATCCGTTTTCTGTCCCGCTTTTTCCCGATTTCCATTGATGTTGCACTTATTGTTCAGAACCATTAAAAGCATTTGCTATTATTTTCCTGAAACCTTTATATTCATAAACGCAGCTTCAGCGACCGCTTCAACAAGATAATTTTTTGGAAAAATATCTTAAAGGAAAATAGGAAAATAATAGCAAAGTCTTTCAATAATTCTGAAATAACAATAAGCGCGACATTAATAGAAATCGAATAAAAGCGGGACAAAAAACGGATATGTTCAGACATAAATAAAATATATCAGTTAAGTACAAATGTGCTAGAGAGATAAACAAACTGCACAGCTGAAAGAAGACCTAAATGTGTATAATGCAGGAAGTTAAAAAAAAATTTTAGTAAAGTAAATACTATAAACTGCAAGTAAATTAATACTAATCATTCAAATATTTTTCATTCCAAGTCTTTTTTTTCCTTTATCGCACAAAACTTGCAGCAACATATTGTTGCAATATTCCTGTAATATTTAAGATTGCAGGAATATTGCAGCAACGTTGTTGCAACCAACGTTGTGATGTACAGATATATTTATTCTAAAGCCATATGTTGTCACAATTACAAAATACTTTGTGTTAAATATAGGATTAAAAAAATAAAAAGTTTTTTTTAAAGAAAAATATAAATGTGACAAAAGTTTAATTTATTGATTTAATTTTTTCTAGTATGTGAGGGATAATCGACAAATAGAGGTATAGATTTTACGATTTAATTATATTTTTAAATTTGTTTTAAATAAAGAAACTATTTTTTAAATAAGGAAACTATTTTTTTAAATTAATTTATTTTTACATTATTCAATTTAGCATTAAAAATAATATAAAAAATAAATAAACATATTTTCAAATTCTGAACGATTGTTAGAGTAATCGATTTTTTAACGAATGCCTTTCTTTAACAAAATATTTATTATTTCATTGTTATAATTATTATACTTGCCACTGCATTATTAAATTATTAGATATTTTCTGTAAAGCAGCTTTTAACGTGTACTAATTCAACGCAGTGCGAGTGACTGAATTCACTATAAACATATATTTATGACCATTACCATTTAGTGATATTACATTTTCATTATTTACAGCTATTTTTATACAGAAATCTTTTGAGTGAATGCAAAAATTGAATTTTAGAATAATAATATGACGTCAAGTGTAAAGTCCAAAAAATTTAACATATCTGATTAAAAAACTTTTAATGTCGGATAAAAAAAAATAGTTTTTATTAGGTTCTTGTAATCATTAGGTTCTTTCAATCTTTTTTTAATTATTTTTATCTCTAATTTAAAATAATCTCACAAGCTTATTCATTGAGACAAGAACATGTGAAATTGGACCGTCCAAGAAAGTTATGCATCAAGGCCATTTTCTCATCATGGTTTCTCACCGCGAAAGGTGGGGATATCGATATTGTCCGTTCACCTATACCTGAAAGGGGTCTGTAGACCGTAATGTCAGTAGTATACCGGCTCTTGGATCGTAACGGTACACGAAATACCGGAGAGCTTTAATGAGAATTCTGCTATAGCGGATGTGAGTACAATTATAAGAAAACATATATATTCGATCTTTCCTTCTAGTACATGTTTACAGCCATTAGGAGATTTATTAATAACTTATTCTATAAGACATAAACAAATATCATTTTACTTATTTTAAAGATATCACAATAGAAACATTAAAAGGTGTATAATATTTTAGATATTTTTGATCGTAAAAATTTGACAATAAGAAACTCTCTTTAATGTAATCAAAGCCAAAGTTGCTGTAATACGAATGTCTGATAATTTCGCTTAGAAAAAATCTGTACTTATACTTTTATTACAGATTTATATATATATCTATAGATATTATATAGATATCTATAGATATTTTAATATGGTTTAGATAGATTTTAATATAGTTTGCAATAGATTTGAAGGAAAACTATAAACTTATTCTTTTTAATTCAACTTCTTGCATGATTTATTTTTTTTTCTTCTTTGACATGGAATGAAAAGGAGGGAAGAATCGTGGAAGAAGTTCAGTTAAAAACTACAAGTGTTATATTACGTATTCAAATTGGATTAATTGAAACAGAAATATCACGGAAAAAAGAGAAAAAAAGACAAGTGGATTTAAGTGAACCATTTTCAACGCCAAGTTTAACAAAATTAAGTTGGTTTATTAGCTGAGTAATTTTGTTGCATAATAGAGGAGAGTATAATTGATTTTCTGAAGAAGGAAAAGGATTTCTACAATTATGTTAAATATTATAGTTAAACTAATTTTTATAAACTTTGTTACTATGTGTAAAATAATAAATCAAGTAAATAGGTAATTAGCAATCACACACACGCACACACGCACACACGCACACACGCACATACGCACACGGGCGCGCGCGCGCACACACACACACAACAATTTTGTTACACAATAACATGGTTTTTATCTACTTGCGTTATTCTTTTTTATTTCTCATTATTATAAAAATTATATTATTATAAAAATATAATGTTTACTATATTATCTTGTATTATATGATTTTAGTTAAAATAATTTCATAAATTAAATTAATTCTATTTACTTTGAAATTTATTTATTATACGATTGATTATAATTAATTGTTCTTGATAAGATTGTATTCATTATTTAACGAAAGCGCATTAAATAAATCATGCTAAAAAATAAATTCAATGGCTATAAAACGGTATATAATGGTCAATGATCTTCTTGTACGTTTTGCTATCGCATAAAATCCGGACTTTCGACTTTGCTCATCCTAGCAAAAGTGTGTTTCCTTAGGATAAAAAATTCAGGAAGACGCACGTCGAGACTTTCTCTTTTTGTAAACCGGTAATAAGATTCACTACTTGAGAAATTAATATTACGAAAATTAGCATAATTTTTTTTTTTAATTTATCTCAATTAGTTTTTTATTAATTTTGCTATTTTAAGTGTATCTGTAATATTTCTCTTTTTTCTTATGATTTTCTTCTTTTTCTTTTTTTTTTTTTAGTAAAAAATGTAATGTAAAATTATGTAGTGAAATTTTTTAGTAAAATATTTATTTTTTAGTAAAGTAATGTGATATATTTACAAGTAATATATATTATATGCAATAAGTGTAATTAATGTTTAATTAATGTGTTTTAATGTGATATTTTTCTATTTTCTATTTTATTTAGATACCATGATATTGACTAGCATTCCTTGCACGACGCTGCTTTACTGGACCGCGGCAATTGTATCGAGTAGTGCGATATTGTTTCTGGTTGGTCTTCGTCTGTACGTTTTCTGCACTTTAGGCATTTGCAAAAGCAAAAGCCGAATGGATGGTAAAACAATAATAATCACCGGATGTACCTCCGGTAT